AACAGGTAAAACTCATATCATGCCTTGTAGACCAACACAGAACTGTGAATGAGATGTGGAGTAACAAGAAGGCTGAGCAAAGTAGTAACAAAATCTGACTTACAGTTTATAGCACTGCTCTGGCTGCTGTGATGGAAATAGTCTGTTTGGAGACAAGGGAGGAAATAGGAAGGTCAGTAAAGAGGCTGACGGTAGCTTAGCTAGGGTGAAAGTGGAGACAGAGAGTCAGGTTCAGGATACACTGCAGACAATGCCAACAAGATTTATTCATTAAAGAGATTAAAGAGATATAGGATTTGAGAGAAAAGGAGGGGCCAGGAATGATTCCAGAGTTTTGGGGGCCTGGGCAGCTAAAGAATAAAATTACTGTTAACTAAGAAAACTACTTGAGGAACAGCAGAGATAGACTGGGGTCCTTCTGGCTTAGACATGTAAAACTGGAAAGCCTTTTGGACATCAAATGTGTTAAGCCGACAGCAAAAGCTACAAAGCTGAAGTTGGAGAGGATGCACTAAGATTATAAATGTGGGAGTCGCCAATATATACAATATGTAACTGTGTGTGTACTCATACAGCATTTACACAAATGATCACATGTAATTTGTATTTGTCTGCCTCCACCCTAAGACTGTAAGCTCCATGTGGCCAAGAACGAGGTCTACTCACAGCCAGCAAGATGCCCAGCATTCAGTACATATTTACTGAGCAAATGGAGAAGTTGCCCAGTTACTCCTTCAAGAATAGCCACACTGCCCACACAAGAAGCAGACTCCCTACAAACATAGTACCAAGCCCAGCCACCCCCAAACAGGGAGCTGAGTCTGTCCATCCTGAGCTTGAGATTCCAAAAACAAATGGATATGCCTGACACATCACAGAGGCAGATATTTGGTTTTCAGCCCTGCCACATTCTCAAAGGGTGGAGCTGGGTAAGAGTCTTGCCTGTTCTACCATCTCTATTTCTCTCTTGCAATGTCTGAGGAAAAGCCTGGACTGTTTTACACAGTTCCTAGGGGAACTACCTGGGTTAGATTGATGAGGTGGCTGAAGCCTCTCCAAAGGAGTAGATGCCCAAGTATTCTCAGAAACATTCAAGGGCATCCAGGACCGGGTTAAGAGAGTCCTCAGCCTACTGAGAATGCATTCAGAGAATAAGAAATAGCAAAAGATGGAGGAACCAATCCAGCAATGGTACTCAGTAGATACTATGTTGAAAATGAATTTTGTAACTTGTGGATGGGGATAGGAGGGAAGGGAGGAAGAGAGCAAGGAAGGGGTAACATTGTCCAAAAAGAAATGTATTCATTATCTGACTTATGAAACAGTAACTCCTGCACACACTGCTTTTCTAATAAATACTACTACTACTACTAATAATAAAAAGAGTAACAAGCCTGGTGTCAATGGCTCACACCTATAATCTTAGCACTCAGAAGGCTGAGATTCAGATAGATGGCAGTTCAAGGCCCAGGCAGAAAGTCCCCAAGACTATATCTCTAAAATAAACAGCAAAAAGTTGGGCTGGAGGCATGACTCAAGTGGCAGAGTACCAGCAGAGCAAGCTAGCCAAGCAAGTTCAAGGGTCTAAGTTCAAACTTCAGTACCTGTAACAATAACAACGCAACAACAACAACAACAACAAAAGAGTAGCAATGGGGCTGGGAAGGCGGCTCAGTGGTAGAGTACTTGCCTTGCATGCCTGAGGCCCTGGGTTTGATTCCCTAGCACCACATAAGCAAAAAGAAAAAAAAGCCGGAAGTGGCGCTGTGGCTCAAGTGGTAGAGCACTAGCCTTGAGCTGAAGAGCTGAGGGACAGTGCCCAGGCCCAGAGTTCAGGCCCCACAACCGGACCCCCCCAAAAAAAAGAGTATCAATCAGGGGGAGGGAAGGGATAGTAGGAGAAAAACAAAGGAGGGGGTAACAATGCTCCACAAGAAATGTACTCATTACCTTACACCTAACTCATGTTATTGTAACCCCTCTGTACAGCATCTTTACAATAAAATAAAATTAAAAAAAAAAAGAGGGCTGGGAAGATGGCTCAGTAGTAGAGTACCCTGGGTTTGATTCCTCAGCACCACAACATAAGCAGAAAAAGCCAGAAGTGGAGCTGTGGCTAGCCTACCACTGAGCTGAGCCCAGGCCCAGAGTTCAGGACCCACAACCGACCAAAAAAAAGAGTAGCAATCACAAGGATTGATTGACAAGGAAAAAAGACTGCCTAATACTTCAACCTACTGTAAGAATCTCTGACCAAAGGCACTGAGTCATTCCTTCACCTGTAAAGAGAAAATTAAGGTTATCATTACAAGGCATAGATTTCACATCAATAACTCTAGTTGTGAACATTCACTTTTAGGGAGAAGACAAACAGCTCTAATGGACTTGTAAAACCTCCTCCCCTTCTGATACAATGGAAGAATAGCCCAGAGAGACTTGTTAACATGCCCAGGATCACTGAGCAGAAGCCTTGTAATAGAATTCTGGCTTTCTCTCTCTGTTGAGGGTTTCTTCCCAATACGTCACATCAGTAAGAAAGGAAAGGTAAGGGCTACTGAGGGAGCTGGGGGTTTCAGGCACTGTTTCCCCACCCCACAAATACTGGGGATCAAATATGGGGCCTTATACATGCCAAGCAAGTGCTCTACCACTAAGCCACCCCATCCAGCACTAGGCATTAGTCTTAAAACATGAAACTGTGTCCTTGTTAAAGGGTAAGTTGCACATGTTACAGGAATGCCAGGTGCATGCTGTGAAGTTAAGAAGGATTCCTTTCCTTGTACCAAATCTGTCATCCTACTGAGTCCCCTTGGCTTTTGACTTTATGAATAATGCTAATCATAGTAGTACTTACAGAATTAAAGCAATGCTTCACAAGTAGGTTTTTTTTTTAAGCAGATGTGTATTTCATTAAAACGTTTACATAAAAATTCAGGTGGCAGGACAGCTTCTAAAATAAACAATTATTGAGTGCTTCCTCTGTGTAAGTTATTGTACTAAGTGTTTTGTGCATATCTATATAAGTGAGAGACAAGACCAACTATCACACAAGGAAAATACAAAACTCAGGTCTCCAAGCTTGCAGTGTTCTTGCTGATAGAAGACTGTGAACGTCAAAGACATGACTAATAATATGGAGTGGATCATTGTTAAGTAATTGGCATAGGTAATGTAGCTGCAGGATTTCTCAAAAGAAACTATCACTTCTGCTTGGAGTGGATAGGAAGATGCAGCAAGTAGTTCACTTCAAGAAAGGTGAGGGAGGGCTGGGAAAGTAGCTCAGTGGTAGAGCGCTTGCCTTGCATGCCTGAGGCCCTGGGTTCGATTCCTTAGCACCACATAAGCAAAAAGAAAAAAGCTGGAAGTGGCACTGTGGCTCAAGTGTTAGAGAGCTAGCCTTGAGCTGAAGAGCTGAGGGACAGCGCCCAGGCCCAGAGTTCAGGTCCCATGACCGGACCCCCCCCCAAAAAAAAGAAAGAAAAGAAACATTTGTTGAATAAGTAAGAGGAATGAAGAAAGCTCTTGGGGGGGGTGGGAAGGTGGCTAAGTGGTAGAGCGCTTGCCTTGCATGCCTGAGGCCCTGGGTTCGATTCCTCAGCACCACATAAGCAAAAAGAAAAAAGCCGCAAGTGGTGCTGTGGCTCAAGTGGTAGAGCGCTAGCCTTGAGCTGAAGAGCTGAGGGACAGCGCCCAGGCCCAAAAAAAAAAAAGAAAGAAAGCTCTTGGGTTGGATGGTCAACTTTCCTCAGTCAGAATAATGGCCAGGGTTGCACTCAGATGAGAGAATTTTAGTTTTACCACATTCTTCTATGAAAACATATTTCTGGAAGTACAAATCATCCCCTCTGCTACACAGATATTCTTCCTTCCCTGTTTCCCCTGATGTTTCCCCCACCCAAAGCAACACACCTTCAGTGTCAAAGCAGGCAGGAAACTCCAACTAGAGTTTCCACTTCATTAACAACTCTGCCTGTGGCTCCTCTTACATAATGGGATATGTATCAACAGGATGGAAGATGAGATTGGGTTCTTGCCCTAGTTATACTACTAACCAACTGTGTGACTTTGATCAAGTTGCACAACTTCTCTGGATCTGAGTTTTTACATACAGAGGAGGAACTAGGTCTATCTGGAATTCAGACAAGTTTTAGCTCTAAAATCTATTTTATAATTCTCAGAAGGTCCTTGCGACACCCTCAGAGAAGGAAGTAACTACAAGGCTCAGTGAAATGACCGCCAGACCTCTCGCAGGGGCGAAACGCCAGGATAGGAGGGGTACACCAAGAAAGCGAGCCGGCACTTCAGGGGCCTCGCGGATCACCGGGGAGCAGATCTCATTTCCAAGGCTGGGAGAAATCCCACCAAATCCAGATCACCAGCGGGCGGATCTCATTCCTAGGGCTGGGAAGGATCATAACAAACCCGAGGGCGACTTTCACTCCACCTTTCCTAGACTCCAGAAGGCTCTAAGAAGCCCCGCGGGTTGAAAATAAAGATTTCTTTCCCAGCGTCCTGCGCTGCTTTTGCAAGTCGGATTCCAGCAGGCATGAACTGCAGCCCGATCATGACAGTCTGTCTTTGGAAAGAGCGACTGTGCTCGTCCATCTCGCTTCGAGTTCGGGGGACGCAAGCCGCCCAGACCGACCGGCGTCCGACCCCAGCCCGGAATGCCAGGCCAGCAGCGCCCTCGGGCTCCCCCCCCCGCCCCCCCCCGCCCCACCGCTGGCCCCGCTGCGGTCGGCAAACATTTCCTGCCCCCGCCCTCACCAGGAGCTTCCCAGTTGGAGCGAGTTGGTCTCGCAGTCGGGTCGGCGCTTCTTAGTTGGCCCAACTCGCTCTCCCGGCCACCGGGCGCTGGGGAGGGACCCGCCTGCCTCCGAGTAGCCACCGGGGCAGCCCAGACGCCAGGAGCCGCGGGGAGGTCGCTCGGGAAGCCCAAGGCTCGGGCAAGCAGGGGAAAACGGGTCGGGCATCGTGGCCTTGCCCCCTTCCTGAGTTACCTGCTCGTTTGCGGGGGTGTCCCGGGGCGGCTGGCCTGTCCCGACGCTGTCTCCCCACGCAGTTGCCCATGCTGGCTCCTCAGTTGGTCCCCATGCACCGGAGGCGGCGGGCAGCCGGCTGCTCTGCACTCCCGTCCTGGACGGCGGCGCCCTGGTCAACGGCTCCAGCCGCCCGGCATCAGGCGCTCCCAGATCTCCCTTGGGGCGCTCTCTGCCCGGCGACGGCTTCGCCACAAACTTTGCGGGCTAGGAGAGAGGGAGGTGGCCGGCTCCCAGCACAATCCCAGGTGGCCGGGCCAGGGGGGCCCACGACCGTGTCCGGCCAAAGACCAGTCCCACCGGAGGGGCGGAGGGAGGGGGGCGGGAACCGCCGCAGCTACTCCGGGCTCTCTCGGGGCTCCCAGCTGGGGCCGTCCCCCTAGAGCCTGTCACTCACCTGCCTAACCCCGCCCCAGCCCGGCCCCGTTCCCTTCCGCCGGCTCGCGGCGCCCGCCGCGCCGCCACCACCCGCCCCAGGTGCGCATGTGACCGACTGCAACGCCCCTCGAGCCAGGCCTGGTTTTCTCATTGGCTTTCCATGGGATGCGTACCGCCCCTCAGCCCCACCCAGCCAGGTGCCCGCCCTGCCGCCGGTCCCCCGGGGAGCCCCGCCAGGAATTTTGCGCCCTCAACGGCCCCCGACTGCGTGCCCGGCAGCCACCTCCCCTCCCCGCGCCCCAGACCCCGCCCCTCAGGGAGGAGCCGACCCGTCCCTCCTGGAACTGCCTGGCTGGGAGCCGGCAGGCACGTGACCCGGTAGGGTCCCGCCCCCGAAAACTTCGCTCAACGATTGGCCCCGAAGACGCGTGCGCGTAGGGGCCTGTCTCCCGCCCCTCCCACTTCCCCACCCACGTTCTTTGGCTAGCGTCATGGCTGCCGCCGCCGCTCTGGAGGCGGCGGCACCTACTGGAGCCCTGTGGGGCCTCGTACAAGACTTCGTCATGGGTCAGCAGGAGGGTCCCGCTGGCCAGGTGGCTGCAGGTACGGCAGGCAGCGCCGCAAGGCTCCTGCAGGGAGACGGCCCGGAGGGAGCGGCCTGAGAACTAACGTGGGGCGGGAAGGGAGAAGCGGAGGTGACTGAGAGATTTTTTTCTGGGATGTTTGGTGAGCCCCGCGAGCTTAAAAGCCATAAGTAAGTTGGAAAGCCTCTGGCATCTCTTCAGGGCTGCTTTACGCTCCTCATCTCCCCATGGTCGATAAGAGAATCATTACTTTTCACAGACGAGGAAACAGGCCCAACGAGGGCAGGCGACTTGCGTAAGGCTGCAGACCGGGCGGAAGGAAGCGGGGGCTGGAATGCGGACTCAGGTGTTCCGGTCCTAGCCAAAAGCTCACGCCGGGAGACCCGCGTTGTTGGTGGGATGTTGACGTGGGGAGATGCGTGTTTGCAGGCATCCGCTCCCGTCGCGTGGCATCCTGGGAGTGGCCTGTGGCCCTGCTCTCTCATAGGCTGTATGGAGAGGTGGAGCCAGGAAGAGAGAGAATTTGAGAAGTCTGGGTCCGACCCCCGAAGATTTCGTCTTCTGCTTTCTTAGAGTTGATAAATTTGCTTTACTACTGTTTTGAGGACTTATCTCCCCACCACGTGTTCTTTGCTAATTTTACCCATTATTAGTCTCTTAGACTAATTCTGAGCAAAACAAGTTTTAAGCTTCCTTGGGATTCTGAATTAGCTATTTTAGGGGGGGAAAGATCTGAGAAAGTTACTGAATGTTAGGAAGCCTTCAGAGTCAGTTTTAAATAAATATGTATAATATATATTAAATAATAGAGTAGAAAATGGGTATAGGTGAGAAGTGTTTTTTGTTGTTCACATTTGGGAGTTTTGCGTGGTTGGGGATAAGTAAAATGTTTCCTGGAAATTGAACATATCAACTCATGTGAGAAATGAAGTGAATCTGCTAGAAATGTAGTACTCTGGGCCTTTCCATCATTTTACTTTGATTCAGTCATTCCATCCTTATTGAAAACTTTTCATCAAACATGGAAAGCAAATAGGAATATAAATACAAACTAAATTAGATATGTGGCCACCAAGAACTTATGTCGTGGTGAGAGAAACAAGCATGCTCTATGAAGTAATGTGTGATCATTTAGAACCATCAAAGAGCAAATATGCCTGCTGCTGGCCTAGTATTATGGCACATGCTTACAATCCTGAAGTTGATAGTTGGAGGAATGAAGATTTAGTGTTTGATAGGAGTTCTGAGCCAGCCTTGGTTACAGTGTGAAACTTGGGGGGAAATAAGTTTGGTTTGCCACTAAGCCTAACATCTACAACTTTACCAAGTATAGTGTGTGATCAGAACTTAAACAGTGAGTACAGTGTGTTATTTTCATTTCCTGTAGTGTTTTACTAGAAAATTTTCTTGTAACTTGCCATCCATTCAGTTAAACCACAGGTATCAGCACAGTGATATTTAAATTTAAACCAGAGTTTATTTTGGTGTAAACTTTATATCTAAGAGTTAGTCTATTTATACAGAATATTTTCTGGGTTGTTTGGGTTGTTTTTTTTTACATATGCATACATCTACCATTGCACTCCTACTAACAAAGAATGCTGCTTTATCAGTGTTATTTAACTATTCTTTTACATTTATATATTCTGAAAACAATTTTGGATTCAGAAATACTTTTTGAGAAGACCACTCAAAGGCTGCAGAATTCTTATATTTGCCTGAAAAACGCAATATTGTCTAGTTTAAGTTTAAACTCAGTGAAGACTGAGACACTAGTGCTGTTATAATTTAGCTCCTTTAGAAAAAGTTTGATTCAGAGGAATAGTAACAGTTACAATAGATAAGGGCCACTCACCTGTGGCTCACGCCTACAATCCTAGTTTCTCAGGAGGCTGAGACCTAAGGATCATGGTTCTAAGCCAGCCTGGGCAGGAAAGTCCATGAGATTCTTATCTCCAATTAACCACCAGAAAACCGGAAGTGGCGTTGTGGCACAAGTGGTAGAGTTCTTGCCTTGAGCTGAAGCGCACAGGCCCACTTGCCTTGAGCTGAAGCACCCAGGCCCAGAGTTCAAGCCCCATGACCTACCAAAAAAAAAAAAAGGTTAAAAGGGGTTTGGTGGAATTTGATTTCTCTTTCTTTTTTTCTTTTGGCCAGTCCTGGAACTTGAATTCTGGGCCTGGGCTCTGTCCCTAAACTTCTTTTGCTCAAGGCAAACACATTACCAGTTGAGCCACAGTGCCACTTCTGGCTTTTTCTGAGTAGTTTATTGGAGATAAGAGTCTTAATAGCAGTCCTCAGATCTCAGCCTCCTGAGTAGCTAGGATTACAGGCATGAGCCACTGGTACCCAGCAGAAGTTTATTTTTCATAACTTGGATTTCAGGCAAAAGGATTTGAATGACCTATTGTAGGTGATAGTAGTCGTAAATCCTTGAGCAAAGAAGCCATAATCTGAATGCAGATTTAGAAAGGACTAAATTAGTATTCTCAGTCTTAAATCAGGTAGGATTGTAGAAGATTGTCAGGTTTGAAATATCTCCAGAATAATCCTCAAGCTTAAGCAATCTTCATTAGTACCTATGGAGTCCACCTTTCCTAATTGCAGTCTAGATGCAGAAGGAACACTGAACACAAAGGTATCTGCCACTATTTTTTTTTCTGTTTTGGTCGGTCTTGGGGCTTGAATTCTGGGCCTGGGAGCTATCTCTGAGCTCTTCAGCTCAAGGCAAGTGCTCTACAACTTGAGCCATAGCACCACTTCCAGCTTTCTGGTGATTAATTGGAGATAAGAATCACCGACTTTCCAGCCCAGACTGGCTTTGAAACCGTGATCCTTAGATATCAGCCTCTTGATTATTTAGGATTACAGGCATGAGCCACTGGCGCCCAACCTAAATTTGTTTTGCACTTGAGGTTTCCTGATCAAAGTAGGTGTCAGCTCTAAGGAAGGTGCAAACAATAGAGAGTAACCTGAGCTAGAGGCATGACTCAAGTGGCAGAGCATTGGTTGTAAGCAGAGAAAGCCACGTGAGACTGTGAAGCCCTGAGTTCAGATCCCAATACACAAGAAAAAAGAGGGAGGGACAGACTGATGTATGGACCTACCCATCATTATAAGTTAATGCCTTTCAGGCAAGTGTTCAAAGACTACCTGGCCCCAGCTCTTTTCTTACCCTTCCGGATCTTTAGTTCCCAGTTCCCTGAATGTTTTCCTTCCCAGTTAGCTCTATCCAGGTTAGATCTCCATGGTAAGGCTCAGATTGGATACCATTCTCCATCCCCAGAAATTCCTGATTATCCCAACCAGATAACATACGATTTTGCAATCTTGGTAATATTTCTCAACCATTCATGTACTTATTAGACTTGTTTAGTAGCAATGTTTGTATATATCTCCACATCCTACACACTCCTTTCTACCACTGTAGTGTCTCCTGGAACTAATGTTAAATAGATACATAATAAAAATTGCTTATGCATTTGGAATTAGAGATGTTAAAGGAAGAATCTAGGGATTTGAGGTTAGGTTAGAGTCCTCCTTAAAGGGAGTCTTTCCTTAAAGGGAGGACTCCCCAATATAATTTCCAAGGTTTTGAGCCTGAAGCTGATTAAAGATAAGTACTTTGGCCAGGTGCTGCTGATGCCTATAATCTGAGCTACTCTGGAGGCTGAGATCTGGCAGCAAAGTGAGTGAGACTCTTATCTCCAATTAACCCTCAGAAAATTGAAGTGACACTGGCTGAAAGTGGAAGAGCACTAGCTTTGAGCAAAAAAGCTCAGGGGAGCCGAGTGCTGGTGGCTCACGCCTGTAAATCCTAGCTACTCAGGAGGCTGAGATCTGAGGATCGCGGTTCAAAGCCAGCCAGGGCAGGAAAGACTGTGAGACTCCTATCTCCAATAAACTACCAGAAAACCGGAAGTGGCGCTGTAGCTCAAGTGGTAGAGCTCTCGCCTTGAGCTGAAGAGCTG